ATACTTGTTAAATGTCCTTGTATCATTTTAGGCTACTATTTCAAAACTTTTCAGGGAAGGATTCCATGTCTTCTGCATACCATTTGCTGCACTGGAGCAGGGGGTATTGTCCTCAGGTGTTGCTCGTGCGCTTTCCAAAGGTATCTTGTCCACTGTAGAAACAGAATGCTGGACTATATAACTGTTTTGGTTCGATCTAGCCTGGTTTTTCTTAATTAACAAGGTGGACATTTCTGATGACAAACCGTCTTTCATTGTTAAATATTAATAATAGCCCAATATCTGTCTGCTGTTGACAAAGGTTATATAGAAAGCAAGTAATTTAAAAGTGCATTTTTAACTGGAAATATTGGGTTGCATCTAAAGTTTTGCTCCTCAAGAGGATGGGGTCTCTCTGTGTAAGGGAAGAGAATTGGGGAGCAATTCCTTTCTCAAAGCTTCATCTTTCTTGGCCATTATACAAATCACAGTTTCTAAACAAGTTACTTTACTCCTAGTTCAAAAATTAACTCATTTCTTCATCATAGATAAAATAGTTTTGTTTGTTGTTGTTAACTGCTCTTGAGTCGATCTCGACTCATGGTGACCCTATGGATGAGACATCTCCAAGGCCCTCTGCCCTCCACTCCTCTGTCTAATTCCTGTAACCCCTTAATACTTGTGACTTCCTTAATAGCGTCCATCCATTTGGCCTTCCTTTCTTTCTGCTTCCCTCCACATTTCCCAGCACTATTGTCTTTTCCAATGAATTCCCTCTTCTCATGATGTGTCCAAAGTACGAAAGCCTCAATTGGGTCATCTTGGGTTCTAGGGATATCTCTCTGGCTTGATCTGTTCTAGGACCCATTTTTTTGTTCTTTTGGCTACCCATGGGATCCTCTGCTGTCTTCTCCAGCACTACATCTCAAATGCATTGATTGTCTTCCTATCATCTTCCTTAACTGTCCAGCTCTCACATCCATACATGGTAATAGGGAATACAATGGCTTGTATGATTCTAACTTTTGTGCTGAGTTGTATATCTTTGCATTTTAGAAGCTTTTCAAGTTCTTTCATAGCCACCCTCCCCATTCTTAGTCTTCTTCTGATTTCCTAACTGCAGTCCCCATTTCTATCAATGTTTGATCCCAAGTATGGAATTCTCTTAAGACATGCAGATGACACCATAGTACTAGCAGAAAACCTCACAGACCTGGAACACCTACTAAGAAAGATCAAAGATGAAAGTGCTAAGGCTTAAAGTTGAATATAAAGAAAAAAAATAATGACCACCGAGGACCTTCACAAGTTCAACCTAGACAATGAAGAAATAGAAATTGGTTGCTGACCCCTGTCTTAGATTGTTGATATTCCTTCCACCTATTTTCACTCCTGTGTTTGAGCCTGCCTTTCTTACAATATGTTCTGCATATAAGTTGAACAGATAGGGTGAAAGGATGCAGCTTTTTCTGACCCCTTTGCCAATTGGGAACCATTCTGTTTCTCCATGTTCTGTTCTGACTGTAGCCTCTTGTCCCGAGTACAGATTCTTCATCAGGACTATCAGATGTGTTGGCACTCCCATGTCTTTATGGGCATTCTATAGCCTTTCATGATCTGTGCAGTCAAAGGCTTTGCTGTAGTCTATAAAGCACATGCTGATTTTCTTTTGGAATTCCCTGGTCCACTCCATTAGCCTATGTTTGCAGTGTGGTCCCTTGTTCCTCTTCCTTTCCTGAACCCTGCTTGAACCTCTGGGATTTCTCTCTCCATGTATGGTTGGAGTCTATGTTGCTGAATTTTGAATATGATTTTGCTTGTGTGGGAGATCAGTGCTATAGTTCTATAGTTGCTGCAGTCTCCTTTTTTTTGGATGGTGATGTATATTGATCGCTTCCAATCTGTTGGCCATCATTTTGTTTTCCATATCTGTTGACATATATTGGTAGCACTAGAAGTGACTCTGGGCCTTTGCAGACTGCTAGAAATAGTGCTAATTGAGTCCACTTTAA